TTTTATGTAGTGATATTCATTTCATTCTGCTTCTAGTATCCTAGGACTTTGAAATTCATATTATTGTCCCAAGATCCCAACCAGGTCACCTTTTCCAGTTCTCACTAGTCGCCGTATCTGGCTTTCCTTCTATATTACTCTGCCCATCTGGTCAATTCAGTGATCTTTTCCTCTTGTCCACATGACTCCCTTTGCAAGTAAAATTCATCCCCACTCTTATGTGTATTTCTTTGTCAATTTTCTGCTTACGGTGTCATTGATTTCTTTGAATAACAACCTAGTGAAATTAGGGCATGGCAGCCATACGAGCCCTAAGTGGGTACCAGTACTGTCAAATCTACTGGATACCATGTGCATCTATAGTACTCTGTAAAGTATTAATGTTGTATGGTACACTGGGAACATGGCATTATCAATGCTCTGGTTGAGCTCTCTAAAGTACTGCAATCTGGCAATAAACACGATAGCTCTTCCTCATACTCTTTCTGTTTTATATTGATTATAAGGTCAACAGTGACTCATTTTCCGAGAGGAGTAAAAGGTTTGGTTTCACTCATGGATTGGGATGATAATGAGCAAAGGGAATTTTCGCACTACTATTATTTCAAAGTGTCCTTGTTGCAATCTTAAAACATACATTTATTTTTACGTACTTTTGTTTGTACTTTTCAAACTAAAGTATAATCTCTTGGTAGCCACACATATCATTTTAGAATGTCCAAAATCATCTTACTAATTATATAGACAGTTTAACCTCCATGAGAAAGAAATATCATATGATGATATCCAGTACTAGCACGATATTTAGCATACCACAATAAAATAATAAAGTGGCTCAATCTCCTACAGAGCACCGCAATTATGGAATAACCTCAGGGACACGGTCAAATCTTCATACAATCTAAAATCTTTTAAGAGATCTATGGCAAAATACCTCAGCACAGAATGCACCTGTCATGGTTGAATATATTTATTACCTGTTATATGTTACATTTATATATGTGTGTATATATATAGTTTGTATATTGAATTTTTGTAATATTGGATCCTATTGTAACAATACAATGTTTTGTGGACAAAGACCCAGGACATACTTGAAAATGAGAGAAATCTCAATGTATCCATCCTGGTAAAATATTTTATAAATAAATAAATTATTATAAACATAATATTAAACCTTAAATTAATAACAAGGTAAGTAGAGATTTGACCCTTATTAGTTTGAATAAAGCTTTATTCCATCATTTAGCATTGTCTTAGGAGTTTGTCTTCATGTGTGAAGACTCGTACACTACCAGTTATGCTGATCAGTGAAATTCGGTGGATAGATCCTGAGCAGCCACATTACCCATTTGAGACATCTTAGTTCTTTTATTTACGATACCACCAGAAAAGCATACTTGATCAGTTCAAAAATTAAAATCACTGGGCAATGATACAGTTCCTCATTGGGAACAGCTGAGAAAATATATCTTAGACCATATTAATCAAAAGGAAATGGTCCCTTTTCAGTTAAAGAACCCATACAGCAAACAGTCTGCTTTTACTGTGAATTCTGGAGAAAGAGGGGCGTAAAAGCTGATGATATCAAATCCAATTGCATCATTAGATTATTGTATTATTTTATTATATGATTGAAAAATAATTTCATAATTTTCTATTTAATCTCTTTTAGTGAGCCAGACACATTGCAGGAGTCAACACAGCATATATCCCAGGTAAAAGTAACATATGCTGCAGACAATAGATGCTCTAAAGTAAATTATCACTATTGGGAGCATCAGGTTTTTTTTTATAGATCATGGTAGAGACATTCTAATAAAAAAACCAATGGTGAGATGTTTAGTTGACACTATGTCTGCTATGATTCATGTTATAGGAAAAGTCTTAGAGGTGGGGTGAAACATATGTAGCATGTTGGCCATCTAAAGAGATACACATGGTGAAATTACCTTACAAAGAAGTGATTGACATGTAGAACTCACTGGTTAGTAACTACAACAAAACATGAGCCTTTCACAAATGAATCCCTATGGTTAAAAACATGTCATGGCTTTTTTATTATTAGACTTGTAAAGAGTTAGTGCAAGAAACCAGTTTTGTATGTATAAATAATTAATAGGATTTGTGTGAATATAGCATATTTGTATACTTTTAGAGTTTATAAAATACGAGTTGTAACTTTCTTCATATGGCCTTTTAATTCTTGACTAGTCACCAGCACAAGGCAGGAGTTCCCCTAGTGAGTCTTCATCACTGATAACCTCTGACGATGTACAGAAACTAGACAGACATCAGGTGAGTTGGGTGGGTTTGTAGCAAATCACAACAGAGTAAAGTTAAAGTGTCACACCAATGACATAATTTGATTTCTCCACTTTAGATAGATCTTGGTTGGTATCCAATATAAATCACTTACACTGACTTACAAAGTTCATCCAGAAGACTCCTTCATATCTGCCATTATTACCATGTAGCCCCATCTTCATCTTCCACTATCCTCATCAGCTAACAATATTCATTTTCAAGAATCTTCCTGCCCTATTCTATATCTGTCTGTCCTTCTCAACTAACTGATCATCAACTCTTATCCACCCATCTAATATGTTCCTTCAAAAAAGTCACTCCACTAATACCAGCACTTATTTATCTATTACATCTACTTTGCATCTTATCCGTCTTGTGTAAGCTTTTCAGGAAAGACTCTCAGAATCCACTGTACAATTTTTCAGTCGAGTTAAATCCTGTTATTTACTTTACTTAATGAATTGGTTGGTGCAGATTTCTTTGTCACTATACAAACACATGATATAACACATTTTAAAGCATTTTAAAGTTCATGTATCACTCAGATTAGTTAACTAAAGGGTTCAAAAACATTGAGATGTTAAAATATACTTGCTTTTTTTCCATAATGTAAATGCATTATATTGTTGTATTTTTCCACATTCCTCTTAAATTTTAATCTTCGTAGTTTAGGAAAACACTGCTTCAGAGGAGTTATAATAGCATTATACTAAATATATGTGTGTCCAATATAAACCATTGTCTGGAAATCTATTCAGAGACATGACTATACATAGGATACGAGGTTACACATTTAGAAAGAAAGAAACGTCTAAGGCAAAGGAAAGGGTTCTTTACAGTAAGAACAATAAGGATGTGGAATTCTCTGCCTGAAGCAGTGGTTTTATCAGAGTCTATATAGATGTTCAGTAACAATAACTGAATGAATATGTGCAAAATCCTAATATTTAGGGATCATTTTTAATATGTGGGGTAGAAAATATATGATTGCTATTCTGGGGATTATTATTATTATCGCAATTTATATAGCACCAACAGATTCCATAGCACTTTACAATAATATGAGAGGGGTATTTAACTATAAATAGGACAGTTACAAGAAAACTTACAGGAACAATAGGTTGAAGAGCTCACAATGTATATGTGTTTTATATGGATGTGGGGTATAAAACACATTAGGACAGAAATAATCAAATAAGGTGGGAGTGAAGCAGAGCTGGAGGAGAGAGTAGAGTGCTGCCCTTTAGGAGAGAGCAAGTGACAGGTATGTAAGGTAGAGGTTACTCTGGGAGGCCATAAGCTTCCCTAAAGAGATGGCTTTTAAGGCACTTCTTAAATGATTGAAGACTAGGGGAGAGTCTGATGGGGGTAGGCAGGCTATTCCATAGGAAGTCCTGCAAGCTAAAGTTGGCCATACAGGTGGAGCAGCGGACAGGAGAAGGTCACGGGCAGAGCGGAGGGACCGAGAAGAGGCATACCTGTGGATCTGTGAAGAGATATAAGAGGGGCTAGAATTGTTCAGTGCTTTATATGTATGGGTTAGCACTTTGAATTGACTCCTATAGGATACAGGAAGCCAATGTAAGGAATGACAGAGGGGGGAGGTGTGAGAGGACCGACTAGAGAGGAAAATCAGTTTGGTGGCTGCATTCATTACAGACTTAGCGGGGCAATACGGCTTTTGGGAAGACCAATCAGGAGAGGGTTGCAATAATCCATGCAGGAAATTACTAGAGCATGGACAAGTTCCTTGAGAAGGATTTTTTTTGCTCATTTGTTGCAGAACTGGAAATTACTTTAAACTGTGTTTTTTGCCTTCTTTTGGATCAGCAGCAGTTTTTTTTTTCACCTTATATAACTTTGTAACTCTTGCCTCTTTAACATATATGATAACTGAAACACATTTCAATAGTTTTGAGAATTTTTTTTTCTGTTTAGTGCCTGCAGATATTTCAAGACTACAAAAAAGTTGTGTTTTTCATCATTTATAGTTAATACACGTTGTGCCCTGGATCCACTTGATGTTATCTTGTTTTGATTAGGCGATGGAGACATCTAGAACATTTCCTTCTACTTCCCTTATAGTCCATTATCAGAATTGCATGTGCTCCTATTAAATGTATTTGCTTAATAAGTAATGGATTCAGTTTTCTTTATATTTCAGCTTTTCCAGCAAATTAAACTGAATCGAGAGGAACGTCTTGGAGGTGAGACATCTAAAATCAGCTTTTCTTGGACCACTCATTCTCTTTCCTCTTCCATCTGCCCATGACATCTTGCTATGAGGATGGGATATATAAATATTGGAGCATGGAAGTTAGATGCCCTTATGAGCAGTAAATCTCAACACTGGCCAGGAAACGAAGACATTGGCCAGAGATTAGCCAACTATACCTTCCTGTGAAATATGAAAAATGTCAGACTCATGTAGTCAACATCTATTAACTTTGTTTCTCTGTCTGAACAGCACGTGCTGGGAAATGTAAGAAGGGCAGAGCAAATATGGAGGAGGTGAGTCATTTCTTAGTGGATAGCCATATTATTATATTAATATTATATTATAATATTATTGTCTATTAATGTCAATATATGCAGATGATAATTCTTTATTGATCTCTTTTGTCTGTTGTGGTTCTTATATCACACCATTTCTATTTCACAGCCAATAAAGATAGTTCCAGTAGATGCCGAAATTTCGGAAGAGGATGAGGTACGAAGCCCTGGAAAACCACTGTCACGTGAAGTAGGTGAGGTGTTAAGTCAGAAGACAGATTGAAATGTGAAAAAGGGTTGGGTATAAGGGATTGTTACATGAACATAGGCCTAACTGTGACTGTTTAAAGGTGTTTGAGGCATATCAACTTATTTAGTTCATATGCAAGTCTGCTTTTAGGAACTCTTTAGTAATGTCAGACATATTATGCCTGAAAATATGAATACTATTTAATTACGCACTCTGCGGGTCAAAATTAGTAAAATGGCATCATAGCTATTTTTGTAACAGTAAACTATCTCTTTATGTGAAGGCAACCATGAGTGTTTTGTGATAAATATCGAAAGAGGTTTATGTTCCCTTATTTATTATAAATACTGGGAACATGCTTCTAATATACCAAAACATGAGACAGAAGGTAGTACATTATGAGCTAGAGCCAGGCTCTTTATGTACTAGAACTGTCTGTCTCTATCATATATATGACATTTAAATTGCAAAAGGCATTTAACTAAACAGAAACTGTTAAAAGAGAATACTGCGCAAAGGTGGTTGGCATTTGGAGCTGTGGCTTAGTTGGGTAAAGCAGTGCCTACTGTAGTTTAGTTTTTCATAACTTCCATACCCATCTAGGGAGTCACTTTAAAAATAAACATGAGATAAAATTATTTAGATCTACATATAGTCCACCTAAAGAATCTTGAATTAGAATTATATTGATACTTATGATTAAAATGTTGTTTAAGTTAATTCACTTAAGGGAATTTTACATTTTAAGCCGAAGTAGCGTACTGGAAGCATAGCTGACTTGGGGTATCTTTCCAATTAGAAAATTTTTTACCTTAAATTTGAAATTCACTTAGAATTCTTACTTTAGTGAATAAACACATTATGAATTGATTCATTAAAAGTTTGCATTGCAGCACTAAGACAGCTTCTAATGTTTGTCTACCAAACAACCACTAGAGGGCTTCCTGAAATGAAACGCACCTTTAGTCCGGTATCTGACGCTGGACGTCCTAATGCTCTGTGTGAGGACGCCCAGCGTCAGATTTTTCCCCACAGGAAAGCATTGATTTAGCGCTTTCCTATGGGGAGGTCTAATGCGTGCATTGCATTTGCCACGCATGCACATTAACACGGAGGGGGGCGCAAGGACGGGGAAAACAGGGTTAGCTATAGTGAGAGGAATACAGCTTTGTATTCCTGGCACTATATTGTCCCTTTAAGCAACACATGAAGCTCTGTGGCTAAGTTGGTCCTGTCTAGTAACCAGATCTAGTAAGAGATCCTGAGTTCAAATCTTTGCAGTGTCTATGTTTTGAAAATATAAAACTTAGCAATACTACGATACATTTCATACATACAAAGAGCAAGCCTTGTTTACTAATTTTTCATTCCAATGCAAAATTAGCCTCTTACTTTGCAAAATTCCAGCCCCAAAAAGATTTTTAATACACCTCCTTTATTTAACATTCACTATACCTTTATCCTATTAATGTCACAATTTACCCTGCCTGTGCTACACCCCATGCACACATTCACTGAATATTCCTAAAATATCCACATAAATTCCAACCCTCCACATCCTGTTAACCGATAACACCTCCCACCAAAGTCAGTTACCCATTTTTATGTCTTTAAATATCCTTCTTGTATACATTATTAGGACAGCATGGCCAGTTATGATCAGATTGCATACCTGCATGTACAGCATGGTCTTCTTATCTTGCAATCTGCAGTCCTGCATGAGACATATCCCCTCCTCTTTGTATGATGTCCTCTACTTTACAACAAGCCAATAACAAACATCTGAAAATATCGCTGCACAAGAAGTATTATCTGATCCTACCGTGCTATGCTATCCAAGTAATGAGAAGTTACAGCACAGTCCTGCAGAAAAAGCATCTCATGTCTGACTGTCTTCTGAGGTGAACATCCCTTTCCCCTTAGCAGGCCAGCAAACTTTACCAGTGATAATATTTTTTCATTGGGTGGCTGCCTTACATACAGTGTCTTCCAACATTTGGATGTATGCAAGAAGTGGCACAGGGATGGTACAGACTAGTAGGAGCATGCCCATGAGGTAATGTGAGTCAATGGTGGAGAGTAAGAAGGCATGCTCTACTGAAAAGGGGTTATATCACCCTGGCAGTCTGCAACCACAGTTTTAACTTTTCAGTGATTATTATGGACCGATCTATGTTGCCTCCAAGTAACAACTCCAGAGAACAAACTTGGGACAATGAGGCAAAGCCCATGATGTATTTAAATGACCGAATAATAGGAAACAAGGTCAATCTCAATGTATAATTCTGTGTAAGACATTTATAAATAAACGTGTATGATATACTATAAGTTGCTATTTGCCGTTTACGTCTGCCCATCTAGTAACAACAACAACAGCCTAGTAGATAATTTAAAAAAAGAATCACAAGCACTGTAGAGCTGTGGAAAAAGTTGGCTCTATACAAATACTAGTAATAATAACAGACTTTTCAATAGACTGTCCTTGTTCTCTGTAAGTCTCTGCTAAAGTGTACAATTTTTTTATTTTTGTCCTATTCCTCTCCCATAGACTGTCAGACATCCCCTGGAAGCAGCATCCACAGTCCCAATGATGAATCAGACAACGAAGCCATTAACCCATCAAGGTTGTTTATACAAATGATATGTACAAGCCTCTGCCTTGTCATGCCCTCATCCTGCTGGTGGGCAGAGTAGGACAGAGGGGCTGCTTGTATTGTGTTTATATCTATGGTGTACGAGTGCAGTACGTTTAGTCTATGTAGTCCATTTAGTAATGTTCATGTCATATTCAAATGCTTTTGTTTTTACACGGATCAGAGAGAGTACCACACTGATTTTACATTAAGTGTATAAAGGATATATCATTACATGTCATGTAATGCAGCTTGCAAAGTTTGTAAAATTATACATTCTAAGTTCTACATTATTTCAGAAAGTTATTTTGTAGTCTGTAGGTACACAGGAAGAAAAAGGTAGGCACTCATATTTGTCAGAATGCCCATGGTGATTTGTCCATGATAGATATATCTAGATTGGAAACCGCATACCTAAGAAATGACCCTCATATTGGTATTGTATAAGAGTTGTATAAAAGCGCACCATGGAGACTAATTAATTAATAGACCCAAAGAAATTTTTCTTAAAAAAAAGAAAGGATGGACAATCCACTGGGTAGCCAGGACTTGGTCAAGCTCCTCACTAACCTATAATTACACGTTTCAGAGGACATGATATTTCTTAAATTTAAATTCTATTTAAATGCATAATGCAAGGCAGCGATCTATGGCCATATGGTGCAAATCAGTTTTAGTTTATAATTATTTTTTTTCTAGACAAATTCTGGATTAAATATGGATGGACAACAACTAAATGCTTTTTCTGAACCTATCAGTAAGCAGTGGGTCTACAGGTTTGACATGCTGACATTTAAAAATTGCTTTACGATGAACTTTCATTTGTTTCTTTTACTTTCAGGGATTTGAGCTTAGACACAATGAGGCAAAAAATCCACGATCTGACAGAAAAGTTACGGAACGCTCACACCTGTCACATCTGTCTTGTGAGTACTCACACCTACTACATCTGATGAGAACTGTTCCCTCTAACCACTTCTATGACCATGATCCAGCTCTGGAATAGTCAAAGGTCCACTTTACATTTTTAAAGCATTAAAGTTAGGGCAGGAGGAGAAGGTAGGGGGTCGGAGAGGACCAGTGCCATTGAGAGCACAGAAATGGTTTTACTCCTTTTGGTTAAATGGCACCCAAGACCTCAAGGTACCCAAAGAACTTAATTATGATGATCAGAGAATATTTTAAACAAAGCTTTGATGCACCTTGAGATTTTCAAGATAACATTTTTATCTGTTTTCAAGACTGGGATATTTAGTGTTAATAGGGATTATAAGGAACTTAATGCAAACTAAGGTTAATAAAAAGGAAATCTTTTATTACAAATATAGTAATAAAAACTAGCAATAATGAATAAACTAACTAGCACTGATTCCACAAATATACAGCAGAGTACACAAAGAATGAAAATTGAAGAAATTAGTCTTGAAATAGTAAATATACACCAAGGTATGCAGGAAAACAAATAAAAATGAAATACAAGTAACTATCGTGTGATAACCCACTGGAGATTTTTGCTATAAATACTTCCAGTTGGTTGGTTGATCCGGCGTCCCGTGACAAGCGTTGGAAAACATGTGCATGTAATAAGAGGGAGGAAAATTAATACATGGAAAACCAGTATAAAACCATCTCACTGAAATATGCTACAAAGAAATGTCAGAGCATACGTTACCAGACAAAGAAGAAACAGTCGCTTGTAGTGTTTTTCGCGCACATCACTAACTATTGATAATGTGTTTTTTCTTATTCTCCTTGTAGGACTCATACAGTGTCCCTGTAACCTCCATCCAGTGTTGGCATATTCACTGTGAGGGCTGCTGGCTTCGTGCTCTGGTAATTATTATGGTTTATGGGACCTCACCTACAAAAGCCTACAACACAAAACCCATGGCAAATTAGGCAACCTCAACCCATGTTTCTCCAGCACCTGTGATCTTTTGTCTTACCCCAAATCCACCAAATATTACGTCAAACTAGTTGGGGATGCTTTCAGTTCATCTATAACGATTATTTGCTGGAAGGATTTAAGATTACTTGTTGCGTAAATATTTTTGATGTTTTCACAGAACAATTTGTTTCTAGCTGTTCTAACTCTATAGTCAATCCATAATAGCAACAACCTACTTACCCAATTTCAACACAACTGCCTCTTTCTGCTGATGGTTTAATAAACAACCTTAATGGAACAGTCTAAGTCCCATAACCAGCACAGTCCAGTGATGTGGTTATGGTACCAGGAGTGCCCTGGTGCTTTCACGTAACTGTTTGACAAATTACCGTTGTCCCACTGGGTGCCCTCACCATGTCTGCTGCAACCTAATTGTAATATAATAATTTGAATTTTTACCATTGGATGGTGTATAACCATCACAGTCTGTTGTATTTTGTAGCGGTTATGGTGCTTAGAATATTTTAATATGATTATTAATACTCTCCCTTCTCTCATTTCCAGGGTGCTAAAAAGTTGTGTCCACAGTGTAACACTATAACGTCTCCAAGTGACCTGCGCAGAGTATACCTATAAACTACAGGGCACAACACAGATACCCTCACACTCAGAGATAAGTCTGCATATGACTGTTCTTCTTCATATGACCGTCCTACCATGAAGATCCTTTTAATGACGAGTGCAACAGAACCTGTAGCATCATTCTTCCATGGTCAAGCATAGCAGAACAATGTACTACTGACTGCCAAAGGAAGAACATTTTTACCTGTAATTTTTTTTAATTATATTTAGTATGTTTGATATTCTGATTAAACATTTGCACTAGAAGATGGTGAATGGAAATCTGCTTGATGGTGCTGGATGCATTGAATTATATGGACCATAGCTGCATAAACTGATTCATAAGGAATGTTCACATTGAATTATTTGATTGAAATTCTAATAGTTAGAATGAATATTGTCCTTATATATTTTTTTACAAGTCCTGAAGCAGTACAGGAAACTTCACGCTTCATGAAGATGTTTTTACATCAATTTGATTCTTCTTTAGAAACAAAAAGGGAGATTAAGATTTAGAGAAGGGTTTGTTGGTTGCAAAACAGATTAAATAGGGACATTTAGGATGTCAGTACATGGTGGAATAATGCACGTTGCCAGGCGTTAGTATTTATAGAAAACGAGGTTCTTCTGATTCCGACAGTGGGTATTTCATTATCAGTGTAATGTCAGAAATGACAGATAATGGATAAGAAAAAACTATGGATTCTTTTTGAATGAAATATTACCTTATGGATACTTATCTGGAAAAATAATCGACGTGTGGCCCATGAGTTTGGTCACTTGACACATGCAGGAATACACAAAATAAGTATTGCTTTCAGGATATTGTCTTGCATGGGTAGTTGAGATATTCTCATGAAGTTTACCAAATTATCACTTTTATTGTTTATTTTGTTTCTACTTTATCCAGACAGTGGGACAGATATACGTAAAGTGCTAGAAAAAACACTTCTTGGTATTAATACAGGTATCAGATAGCTGTGCTGTTTCAGTCTGTCTACATATTAAACATAACAAAATAAACAAGGCACATATTACATTATGTCTGGATTTTATATTTTTACATTCAGGTAAATAAATGGTAACATTTCAGAAAGAATCCTACTTACAGAAGTGGTCATGATAATGAATGGCTGGATGGATGGATGGATGGGAAGATGGACAGATGGCCATCTGGCTGGCTGAGCTAAATCTCATAAAGGTGTCAAGTAGATGGTTAGGTAATGACACTGTCATTCTTCACAAAAGAAAGATAGAGTTTCAGGAGGTCAGATGTAGCTATCACAGGAGGTCAGATGCAGCTACCATATTTTCTTAGAAGGACCTCTATTTTTATGGTGACCACTCATACTGGCTGTCCACGTAAATTAATAAGTGTTCCAAAAAGGGAAATTGAACTTGGACACTCCACTCAGTGTAATTATTTTATAAAATAAAGCAATACATTCTTTGCAATGAGACTATGTAAATGATTTAATTCATTTGACTTTGCTTGTTCCAAAACTGTATTTATATTCCAAAATGACTACTACATGGCTCTAAAATCAAGCAAATTGATCTGAACAAATCCCAAAGACTTCATCTGATTTGTTATAACATTTTTCGATTTGTTCTTCTTTCTAATCCAGTCATCACTACCAGTATCCACATAATATATAGTTTTGATAGAGATAAACAAGAAAACAGAAGTGAAAATGTTCAAATAACTACTTTAAAACACTCAAATCAAATATGTGGAAATAAGGGTAAGCGTTTCAAAGGAAATCCACAATTTCCATAAATCAAAAACTTTTTTGGAACAATTCTAGTGAACCCCAATTTTGATCTGCTTGAAAATGATTTGAGCACCCATAGCTTAATAACACTACAACCACTGCACATGCATTTAGTGGTTGTGGTGCTGAGACTGTCCAGTTAAAGAGTTAGACTGGGTTAAAAAGGTTGATAATGCATTAAAAATGAAAAACTGAAGTTAGTAAAAGAAAAACCCACTGTTTATTGAATCTGTTTGCAGCTGCAGGAAAACCCTAAAAACATCAGAACGAGACACTTCACTCAGAAGCCTCTCATTCTAAACTATGAATATTGTTCTTTTCTCATAAACCCATTGTTTAATATGCCATGCTATCAGTTTATACACAGGCCAATTCATTAAACTGTGTTTTACTATCATCTTAGACATGGACCATGTGAAGTCAATAGCTTGGCTATCTCCCCCGAGAACAGAGCAATAGCCTTCCCTCTGGTGTATGCTGCGTGCACATGTTGTACTCCCAATTGGAACACTGGTGGGTGGCAGTAAGGATACACCAATTCACTTATTTAGCCATGAGAAGTATTCATATAATTTCTATTTGTTTGCAAGTCTGTGGCATACCCTTAATTGCACTTTATTGGGTATACCTTTACAATACAGGGTAGGGCACCTCTGTGTTCAAAGAACATCTTTTATAGTAGGAACAAAGGTATGTGTGAGGTGCTCTCTATCTGTGAATAAGCAGCAATCTACCTAAAAGGAATCCCTCCAACCTAGTGAAAAACAGACAGAGAAGAACAGTGGTTGATCAAAAGGTAACGGGAAAAAAACTATATATTTCCATACAGTTGATAAACAAAAATTCTGTACAGTGTGTCTTTATAAAAAGAACAGAAAAACATAATGGTGCAATACAGTTAGATAATATTTGCAAAAAGTGTTAGCAATGCCAATGGAACACTTTTTCTAGAGCTAATATAGCTCTATTTTTGTAGGCGTGGACGGTATAATCCCCATCTAAGAATACAATAATGAGGTGAATCACTTTTGAGAAAGCCACGGCGAAATGCATTAAGTGATGACCTGGAACCAAAGACTTGAATTCCATTGTGGAATGATACTTTTTATCTATTTTTATCACTTTTTAAATATTGTTAATAAAGTACTTTTTAAATTATAAATATCCAGTCCTTGGAATTATATTTCATTTCTAGATTGGCTCCCTGCACATCCAGTATATCCACAGGTGGGGATAATTCCACCCAAGCCTGTATATACCAGAGCAGGTCCATGCTCTGGACATTGTAAGTAGGATATTATTTTTAACTTTTTTTTATATTAAAGGGCTTGGTGTGTGCCAAGAAAATATCTCCCACACTGTTGCACCAACATCAGCCAGAACTACAAGGAAAGATGGGTCCATGGATTTATGTTGTTCATGTCAAATTCTGCCTCTACCATCTGTATGTTGAAGCAGACATTAAGATTTGTCAGACTTGCAACATTTTTAAATATTTTACTGTTTTATGTGTCTGTGCCAGTTATAATTTTCTGGGTGTGATGTTATATATGTTCAAAGATGCTCGTCTGCAAAACCCTGTAATGTTTTTATTTTCATTGCATTACTTTGACTGGTTACAGCAGTGGTAACGCCATTGCATTTGAACTGGGAAGCACAAGTTTGTACCGTGGTCAGACCACCTGACCAGTAAGTGTCCTTGGGAAAGATAACTGCCTACCTCAAATCCTCGTAGATCGGAAGCTTGTTTAAGCAGGGGCTGTATAGATATAAAATGCTAGTGATAACAATTGAAACAAAATTGAACCAGTTTGCCATTTTTCATGGGGCTGCCACATACTGGACATACATTGTTTTTACTCAATTTTCTGTAATCTCTAAAGACCATAATGCATAACATATAAGATATCAGCAATTCCTTAGATGACCAAACCACTACACAATCATTTCCCTGTCCAAGTCACTTACAGCATTTCTTCCCCATTCCGATATTTGGTTTAAGCAATCACAAAAACCTCTTCATCACGTCTGCATGCTCTTATACTTGAAAGAACTCCCAACATTTCAAGAAAATAAGGACACAGGTAATTGGGTCAAATATTGAGACTGTCCCTCCTAAATAGGGACACTTGGGAGGTGTGTAATCTATTAAATTCCCTGTGGAAGCTCTGGATAGTGGGTGGATATTCTGCGGTCGCTCAGTTTTTTCAAGCAAAGTTTTTGGGAACCTGTCCCATTCAAAGCCTTCTCAAAAAAATTTAGTAAACCATGGTGATCGTATTCTAAGTTCTACAACTACTAATGCAGGACCTCTAGTTCTGACATGGGACTTTGAACATTCCACTAAACTGCATCATAGAGCTGTGTTCTTGGGGATAATTCACTAGCAAATAGATTGCAACATTCAACTCAAAATATTCAACTTGCAACATTGATCAACCTTGCTATTCTTCCGATTATTGACATCCGAGCCTACAAGCAGCTGAAAATACTGCTGTCACCC